TGCAATGTTTAATTGTACTGTCCCTGTCAAATAAACAAATAAATAAATAAAATAAAGGAAGCCCCACCTCTGCCCTCCACGGGGGAGGACTTCCTGTTCTGCAGGTAGTACAGCAGCTGCTCCACCTGGGGCAGGCGGGAGGCCGGGATGAGTTTACACTCCTCCACCACCTTCTTGGCCAGGGCCGACAGATCTGTGGTGGGAGAGAGGCTTTTCACACGGATTCTGGAGGGAAAGAAAGGAGAGAATGAGTGATGCTTTTATCCAAATACAGAAAATAATTCATCATGACGACTAGAATTTAACAAGCCAGTAAGACAACGAGTGCACCTATAGGTTTGTTGTTAATGGATTCATGTCTGAGCGGTTCGTTTAGGTCTCTAAGCTACATCTAAGATTGTTTTAAGTGAAAAAACAAGACGATAAAGAAGGTTTTCTCACATTTTTTGCCCCTCTTTGCGTTCACCCATCACTGCTCCTCCGCTCTCCCCCAGGATGGACGCCTCCACCTCATAGTGGACCACCAGGGCCTTCTCTGTGGGGTGGACATCCAGACTGCCTGCTGTCACTTTGCTGTAGAGAACAAAGACTTCAACATCAAATCCACTGTTCATCCCACAATAAATCAAATCAGAAACCAATCCTGTAGTCTCTGTCCATCCTCTGAGACACGCCCTGGTAGCATTAATGCCCCCTGAGACCTGCCAGCTCAACGAGAGTCTAATCACAAGAATAAAAAATTGTGAAGCGTTTAAATAAGCTGTAAGTTATCAGGTAATAAATAGTGTTTGAACGGCTGATTATTAGCAAAACAGCTACGATTTTTCATTGGCCGACATGCTAAGCTAGCTGTATCCCAGATTTCCAACAGAATCGCTGCCATTTCATTCATATAAAAAGTTTTTTAAAAGGCCTTGTGGTGGATATGTGGGGATATACGTGTAATATTAAGGAGTAGTTATGTTGCCATCATTTTTTAAAGCATTATACATTTATAATTGGCTTAAACAGATCCAATCCCAGCATTAGCTAAGCAGCTGCGCTAGCCAGAGGAAACATTTGGACTGTTTTGAGGCTTTTTGTGACGAAGCTTTAAAACATAAGCAGTTTAAACACACGCCGAATTAATAATAGGCTCTTGGGATGTACAGTAGTCTTCAGGTATTACGAAACTATGTTTTGTTTTTCTCCCAGAGTGCATGTAAACATTAAATCCCCATAATTTTGAGCCGACCGCGCTGCCGTCCTTCCGTTTGCGGTAACGTGCTTCATCCTGCATCTTCAAATTCAGGGTTTTAAATAAGTGAACCGGAATAATCAGTTTTAACACATGCCGAATTAACAATAGGTTATTTGGTTTTACAGCAGTCTTCATGTATTACGAAACTATGTTTAGTTTTTCTCCCGAGAAGCATGTAAAAATCAAATCCCCGTAATTTTGAACGGACCCCGCCGCCGTCCTACCGTTTGAGGTACCGAGCATCATCCTGCATCTTCTTCAAATTCAGGGTTTCTGGTTTTAAAAGACAAAACCTGCTCGATCACATCTGATGGATCCACGTTGAAATCCCGGCTGTGTGGAGCTGGAAGAGTCGAGACAGAAAAGCGGGCTGCAAACAGGGAGGGACCGATTATATCCGCCCTAAACCCGGAGGCAGGATTCCGCCTCACAAAGCCAAACCAGAGACGCTAATAAAGGGAAATATTCCGATTTTATTTATTTATTATTACCAGAACACCGTGATATACAAAAATCTGAAGTCATAATTGGAAAAAAACGCCTTCAGGTCATCTGTTTATCTCAAAATAAAGCCTGACAGACTAAGCTTTGGGATTATTTATCCCATATAATATCTACAAACAGCATAAATGTCCACATGGATGTTCAGATTCCTAATTCTTTTACACATGTGCACAGACAGAGAGCACTAGGATGATAATATCGTTTATTGGAGTGATACAGCAGTGTTTCACACAGACTCACACCCTGAGGTTTACACCAATCTGCCTCTAAGACAAGTTTCCTTTAATTGTTTACATATTACTAAATACAATATCCCCCCATAGTCTCTCCTCTACTTGAATTCCTTCCTCCCTCCTTTTCCATCCTCCCCCATCTTCAAAAGCCCCTCTTTTATTTAACCCCCCTTTACATTTTTGTCCTTTTATTCCACATCTCCAGCATCATCTTCTTCATTAGCACAGGCCCCGAACTCTTTCTCAGGAAGGAGGCCGAACTCGTTCAGGAACCCCTCCACGTCTGTCGCAAAAAACTCCTCGCTTAAACGTTTGTCCACAGCCAGGAAGTTTCCCAGTAACTCCCCGGCTTTGTACACCAACAGGGCCGGGAGGACCTGCAAAAACAAGAATCAGAGAGATTTCATTATTTTTATCATTTTATTACATATATTTTAATAATTTTATTCCATGTATTTTTATCATTTTATTACATATATTTGAATAATTTTATTGCATATATTTTTATCATTTTATTCCATATATTTTAATAACTTTATTCCCTGGCCGTTTGCTATTCTTCCTACAGCTATTGCTCCTGTAATGCTCTGGTGGCCCACTGGGTGGCGCTGCTGTTTTTCCACCGGTAAACTGACCTCAGAGGAAAAGCGCTCGGCTGCTCCCGTTTCCACGGCGTCGATGCGGCAGAACTTCACCGTTGGATATTCAGCCGCCAGGCAGTCCAGGCAGGAGTTCATCTGCTCACAACCTGGGGGGAAAGGGTCACTTGTGGAAAATGGCCGCCCACCCTGAGCCATGGTTCTGCTCCAGGTTTCTGCCTGTTAAAGGAAGTTTTTCCTTGCCTGTGTCGCCTAGTGCTTGCTCATGGTGGGAATTGTTGGGTTTCTGTAATTAACTTCAGAGTAG